AAACCCCAAAACCAGTAGAAGAAAAGAAATAATAAGGCAGAAATAAATGAAACTGAAACTAAAAAAACAATCCAAAAGATCAATGAAACCAAGAGCTGGTTCTTTGAAAAAATAAATAAAATAGACAAACCCCTAGCCAGGCTCACAAAGGAAAAAAGGGAGAAAGCACAAATAAACAGGATCATCAATGAAAGAGGAGAAATCACAACGGACACAGCAGAAATCAAAAGAATAATCAGTAACTACTATGAAGAGTTATATGGAAACAAGTTTAACAATCTAGAGGAGATGGACAAATTCCTACAACTCTACAATCACCCAAAGCTAGATAAAGAAGAAATAGAACACCTAAACAGACCAATTACAAGCAGCGAAATTGAAATGGTAATCAAAAATCTCCCCAAAAACAAAAGCCCAGGACCTGATGGATTTACAAATGAATTCTACCAAACATTCAGAGACGAATTAGTGCCTATCCTTCACAAACTCTTCCAAAAAATTGAGAAGGAAGGGACAATACCAAACACGTTCTATGAAGCCAACATTACACTAATACCAAAACCGAACAAGGACAACACAAAAAAGGAAAACTACAGGCCAATCTCCCTAATGAACACTGATGCAAAAATCCTCAATAAAATTTTAGCTATCAGAATCCAACAATGTATCCATAAGATAATTCACCACGACCAAGTAGGATTCATTCCTGGAACACAAGGATGGTTTAACATCCGAAAATCAATCAACGTTATCCAACACATCAACAAAAAGAAATATAAAAACCATATGATAATATCAATAGATGCTGAGAAAGCTTTCGACAAAGTGCAACACCCATTCATGATAAAAGCCCTTGAAATTCTTGGGATACAAGGAACATACCTCAACATCATAAAGGCCATCTATGACAAGCCAACAGCCAGTATTATTCTCAATGGTGAAAAGCTGAAAGCAATTCCATTAAGATCTGGAACAAGACAAGGATGTCCACTCTCACCACTGCTTTTCAATATAATACTGGAAGTCCTAGCCAGAGCAATAAGACAAGAGAAAGACATCCAAGGAATCCAAATAGGAAAAGAAGAAGTCAAACTATCACTATTTGCAGATGATATGATAATATACATAGAGAACCCCAAAAACTCCACAGAAAAACTAATTCAACTCATCAATCAGTTCAGTAAAGTGGCAGGATACAAAATCAACACGCAAAAGTCAGTAGCCTTCCTATACACAAACAAAAAATCTGAAGAAGAAGAAATCAAAAAAACCATCCCTTTTTTTATTGAAACAAAAAAAATCCAATATTTGGGAATAAATCTAACAAAAGAGGTAAAGGACCTATACAAAGAAAACTATAAAACACTGTTAAAAGAAATAGAAGAAGACACAAAGAAATGGAAAGACATCCCCTGCTCATGGATTGGAAGAATAAACATTATTAAAATGGCCATCCTACCAAAAGCAATGTACAGATTCAATGCTATTCCAATCAAAATTTCAATGTCCTTCTTCAAAGAAATAGAACAATTATTGATGAAATTCATATGGAATCACAAAAAACCTCAAATAGCCAAAGCTCTCCTGAAAAAAAAAGAAGGGAATGGAGGCATCACACTCCCAGACTTCAAACTATACTACAAAGCCATAATCATCAAAACTGCATGGTATTGGAATAAGAACAGACATACAGACCAATGGAATCAAATAGAAAATCCAGAAATAAACCCACAGATTTATGGTCAACTAATCTTTGACAAAGGAGCAAAGACTATGCATTGGAGCAAAGAGAGTTTGTTCAATAAATGGTGCTGGGAAAACTGGGTCGCTACATGCAAAAGAATGAAGCTTGACCACTACCTCACACCATACACAAAAATCAACTCAAAATGGATTAAAGAACTAGACATAAGACCTGAAACCATAAAATATATAGAAGGAAATATAGGCGAAACGCTACGTGATTTGCACATAAAAGACATCTTTACAGACACATCACCCAAAGCAGTGATAGTGAAGGCAAAGATCAACAGCTGGGACTACATCAAATTAAAGAGCTTCTGCACAGCAAAAGAGACAATAACAAAAACAAAGAGAAACCCCACCAACTGGGAGAACATTTTTGCACCCAACACTAATGATAAAGGACTGATCACAAAAATCTGCAAAGAGCTGATGAGACTTAACAACAACAAAGAAAATAATCCAGTCAAAAAATGGGCAGAAGAGCTAAAAAGAAACTTCTCTGAAGAGGAAATGCGATTGGCCAACAGGCATATGAAAAAATGTTCAACATCACTTGTCATCAGGGAAAAGCAAATCAAAACTAACATGAGATACCATCTTACGCCAGTGAGAATGGCACATATTAAAAAAACTAGCAACAACAAATGTTGGCGAGGGTGTGGAGAAAAAGGAACTCTCCTGCACTGCTGGTGGGAGTGCAAACTGGTCCAACCACTATGGAGAGCTGTGTGGAGATTTCTGGGCCTACTAAACATAGAGCTTCCATAGGATCCAGCAATTCCACTCCTAGGTATTTACCCAAAGGACACAGAAACATCAATTCCAAAAAGCACCTGCACCCCTATGTTTATAGCAGCACTGTTTACAATAGCTAAGCTTTGGAAACAACCCAAATGCCCAAAAATAGATGACTGGATCAAGAAGATGTGGTACATATATACCATGGAATATTACTCAGCATTCAAAAAAGATAAACACATGCAATTTGCAGCAACATGGATGGCGCTGGAAGGGATCATGCTCAGCGAAATAAGCCAGAAAGAAAAAGAAAAATACTGGATGGTCTCATTCATAGCAGGAATCTAGAAAACTTAAATAAGGGACCAGGAAAATGAATATAAGAAAGTGAAAATCAAAATCAACAAAAAACTATGAACCAGAGACACTTTTTGGGGGGTGGGGGGCGGGAGGGGAAGGATTGGGGTCAGAATGGGGCGTTTGCAATTGTATGGGGGAATATAAAAATAAAATTTATTATTTAAAAAAAAAACAAAAACAAAAATTATACTAAACTCTCCATGATAAACTCAACCATATGTTGCCAAAAAGGTGCTTATTTATACCTGAGAAATAAATATTCAAATGAAAAAAAAAAATAAAGGAAATTTATTAAATTGAAACAATGTTAATTAAGGACCTTAACATTGACAAACAAGTTTATTTACTACTTATAAAAAAAAATAAATAAATAAATAAATATAAGGTGACATCAAAGAGGAAGGAAACATGCCAGATATTTCCCCCTTTGTCTCTCCAAATCCACGTACTACCATTAGCCTCTCAACTTTCCATCCCTGATATATAGTCATATTAACCAATTACCATATTCTATTCAGTTTGGCTAATGGTGAACCCTGGGAAGAGATAGGAAGGAAGAAGAGACCCTATTAGTTCTGCTGCATTCACTCAACCAAAGGACAACTTTCCCAGGTGAGGTTAGGTAATCCCTCCTTCCAGCCTCCTCTCAGGTGTCGGAGAGGCAACAACTCTACAGTCCCAGTCTTTCTAACACCACATGCATTTCCCTACATCCTGTCCATACCTTTGGTTATAGCCCTTTATTAACTTTTCTCAAATTATCCTAATTTGAGCATATCAGCCATGTTCTGCTGGAACCCTGAATGACACAGAGAGGAAGCTTGACTATTAAGAGTGGGCAGAAGGACGCAAAGACCAGACTTTGTCATGGCCTTTTTCATTGTTTTTTTAAGGGTTTAAGAGGTTAGGATATATTGACAAGCTGTTGAACTCCTAACAACAGGGACTATTTCAAAGAAGATTTATTTATTTATGCTGTGATATCCCAGTTCTTGTGTGCAGGGAGCTGAAGAAAGAGGCAGAGTTCTTTGCTGGTCTCTGCAATTGATAACATTACAAGTGGGCTCACCACCTTGCTCAAGTCATTGTAGAAACTGTGTTTCCAGTTTGACCAACACAGTCCACTTGCCAGGTTTGCCCATGGCTGTGCTGGTAAGTGTTGGTCTGAGCGACAAGCTGATGGAAAAGTAGACATAGCAGTGAAAGTAGGAGAAAGAACAAAGGTCAAGACTTCAACAAACCCAGGTACACCTCTGTGCACCAAAGCAGTCAAACAAAGTCGTTGGTGTTTTCTTAAACTTTGCAAAGCTCTGTTTGATGCAGCCTTGCTCGCCTTGCCAAACCCCTCTCTTGTATCTCTTCCGGTCACTGATTCAACTGCTCAGCTCTGCCTTGAGGGCTCCTCTCCCTTTCTCAAGTAGCATAAACCCTGTTCATCCCTGAAGCCGAATCATGACCTTTCCACCACCTGCAATCTGGCACACTGCATGACTCTTGCCCCAACACAGGCCTTCTCGTCTTAGATGTCATCCTTAACGCCACTTCCTCTGCAGGCTGACCACCCAATCCAGACTAGTTCTCTTTGTCATGCTTCTTCAGAGAGCCCAATATTTCTCTTTCACAGCAGTTTCCACATTTTAAAATTTGTTAAGGTGGAGAATCTTATTCAGAAACTCCTAGATTTTCGTAAAAGCCTTTTGCTTTTGTTTATTTTTCTATCTAAATCTTTAATCCATCTGGAAACCACTTTATTTTTCTAAATTTATTTATTTTCTTACATTTGTTCATTTTTAGGCAGTATTTTTTTTTCTTCCCTCAGGTGTACTCCCCAATTTTCTCCCACCACCATAGCACCCGTGACCATCACCACAGTCCCTTGTGTCCCATAGTCTTTCCTCTCATATACTTACCCCTCCCCACCCATATGCCTCAGATCTACAGTCAGCTTGCAAATTTTGTTTTTTGGGAATCACTTTTGTATGTTGCATTAGGAGGGGCTCTTTACAGCCTGCACCTCCACAGCCTTTTAGTGGACCCTCTTAGAGCTCTTCCTTTCACTCCTGCATCCACTCAAGGATTGTTAAATGGCCAATGACTTCATAATGGGCCCTTTATTGCACACAAAGGATAAAAGGAGAATACCCTTATCACAAAGGGTAAAAAGGGAATAATGACAGAGTTTATGAATTGCAGACTTGGAGAAGATTTCAATGTACTTGGAAAAGCAGACATCTGAATGGAGAAATGACAGGATAACAAGGTAAGTGCTTTAATGACGCATGATGACTACAAGCTCCTGGATACTGGCAGGGAATGTGTTTTCATATTGAATGTGAATTTCATATTGTAGCACCACTGAAATAATAATAAAGACTTTAATAATTACCCCATTATTGTTTTTTTAAGCTTTCACTTCTCTCCAAAGTTCCTAACACATGTTTAACTACTTACTAGATATCTCTGCCAGGATGCCTTGTAAGCATTTCCAACTCAGGTCGCCCTAAACAAAATTCTATCCCTCAAAGCCTGGTCCTCTTTTAGTCTTCATTCAGTTGTCTGTGACAGAAAGCTCAGTCTCATTCTCAACACTACCTTCTCCCTAAACCCATATCCAGCCAGTTACTAAGGTGTATCCAGACTAGGTCATAAATACTTTGTGAGCAGAATGTTTTCTATTTTTTTATTCTCAGAGTGAAGGCCTCATTGTCACTTCTCTGAGCCAGTGAGAAATCATCCTAACCTCTTTCCCTACCTCTTCTCTCCTCTCTCTGCAGCCATTGCATGAGCACCACATTTCTAGTTCTGAAACACAGCTCTGATGCTGTGGCTCCCTTGTGGAAAATCCTCTCATGGCTCCCCAATGTTTTTAGATAAAGTTCAAATTTTTTAGTACAGCTCATTAGGACCATCTCAGTCTGGCTATAGACAAATGTATCCCAACAGATAACTGTAATACATGGAAAAAGCTATTTACACAGAGTGGCTCATTGGTTTCTTGTTGCTGCTTTTATAAATTGCAGCAAACTTAGTATCTTAAAAAACACACAAATTAATTTTCTTAATGTTCTGGAGGTCAGAGTCTAAAATGGATCCCACTACAATATAATCAACTTTTCAACACAGGATTTTTTGGGGTCCATTTAGAGGCTCCAACTAAGAAAGTTTTCCTGCTTTTGCAGCTTCCAGAGGCTACCCCATCTTATTGACTCAGGACCCCTTGCTCCAGCTTCAAAGTCACCAACATCTGCTGGGCCCTTCTCATGATACATCTACTTGGTTCTCTCTTCTGCCTGCCTCTTCCACTTAAAAAGATCCTGAGGATTGCACTTGAAGCCAAGATAATTTCTCATCTCTAGGTCAGTTGATTAAGAACCTTAATCCCCCACCTAACTTAACATACTCACAAGTTTTGTTAGGGTATGAACATCTTTGAGGGTTCATTTTTCTGCCTGCCACCGGTATTATTGAAACTGAAACAAATGATGTGTCCAATAAGAGGGAAATGATTTTGTAAATTATGGGAAAGCTATTTCCAAGAGTATGTGGTCATTTAAAAATACATAAAGAGTAATTACAAATAATAATGCACAATGATTATATAAAAGAAACTAGACATAGAAATGAGTAGAGGAAATAATAAGCTAATAATTGTTGCTATGATGATAGAACTTGGATAATTATGCCTTCTATTTCCTACTTTATGGTAGAGTGGTTATATCACTGAGGTAGAAGCAGCTAGATGCAATAATTGCTCTTTTTCCTACAGACAATGGTAATGTTTTTCTTTGAGAAGGTAAAAACACTGACCTTCTAAGGCTCTTGCAGAAATAGAAGACATGTAATTCATCTCTAGCTAATAAGCTATAAGAAATCACTGATTTGCTTCAGAAACCCCCTTTTTTTTTTAAAGAGAGAGGATAGAATGGTACATCCTACATCCTTCTGGACTTTGTTCTTTCTCCTTCTCTTTTGGAATAAGGGTACAAGTCTCCAGGCGCAAAAGACCTTTTGTGACCATAAGCCATAAAAATCCAAGGCTATTTAAACTAAGAATGATGGAGGGAGAGGCAAAATGGAAACATCCCTGGACTTTGTAGCTCTGGATTTATTTTCTGGGAGATGAATAACCTCTATCTGTTCAAGTCATGGTCCACTGATTTTCTGTTATTTGCAGTCAAATGCAGCTGTAACTGATAAAAATACTTCTATAATTAAAATAAAGACAAAAAATAGTGACTGTTTCCAAGTTGTATTTCCTCAATTCTTTGGAGTCCATTCCATGAATAAACCAAATCCTCTGCTTTTTTTTTTTTTTTTCATTTATTTTATTTTTTATTTATATATTTTTTACATCATTGTTCCATTTTTAAACAATGTTTGCTTTCTCCCCCTCTCTCCCCCCACACCCACCCCCCTAGTCCCCATAGAATTTCCTTCCCTAATGCACCCGTGCACCATCACCTCAGCGCACCTCCCCTGTGCTCCTCCCTCCCTCTGATGCCTCTCCCTCCTCCTCCCCTGCAGGGTGTCTCTGTTTATAATTGCCTGTTTGTTTTTGTTTTGTTGTGTCGTGTTTTATATCGTTATCATTTTTCCCCCTGATGTCTTATTTGGTTCCCCTATATTCCTCCTATAAGTGAAACCACCCGATATTTTTCTTTTTCTCAGCTCTGTGGACAACTTTTCTTTTCCCTATTGCCTTCTAATCCCACCTCTACCTCTTTCTTGACCAGCAACCCTCTACTCATCTTCAAAGCCAAGCTCAAATATTATACCCTTAAACACCTTTCCAGGCTTTCCCTCAGATTTGCCATCATTGCTTCCATGGCATTTTGCACGCGTGTCCGTGACAGTGCTGTGCACACTCCATGTGTCTGTCGGTGTTGTCTGTCTCCTCCACTGAACTGTGAGGAATGTGGTGTCTCAAGCCAAGCCATGTTTTTTATTTGTTCCCTTCAAGTCCCACAGCACTGAGCATATAGTAGGCACACAATAAATGTTTTTCTTTTATTCTCCCTCTTCCCCCACCCCCACCAAGTTTCAGAGATCTATTAATCAGTATAAACCCCAATACAACACACCAGCATGATGTCACACATTTACAGGCAAAATATTTCCTAGTTAAGTGGAAAATTGTACAGAAGTCTTCTGAGAGGCCTTCATTTTTAAGCAGCTCTATCGTGAAATATTTCACTTAGCAGTCTAGGCATTCTTCTTTCAATTTGCTGTAATCTACATTCACTGAATAGAATTTGTATCGATCATAGCAACCCAGTTTGTTCCAGGGTACTGGGTAATTCTTTCTGTCCCAAGTGACATCTGGAATGAACAAAGCATGAGACAAAATACTGTTCCCATGTCTCCAGCTCCAGTGAATACAAAGGGGGATCAAACTAGATGCTTCTTGGCCTGTCCAAGGATCTCATGAAACATGGTTCCAGAGATATTGGGGAGGCAAGGAAAGGAGAGAATGTCTGCAAGACTAGTTACTAAGCATTTGCTGAAATATGTTTTTAACTGAATTTTTTTAATGTCTAGTTTTTAAATTAAATACCATTTTCTCTTTGCTAGGTTAACCCCTGTTTTCTCTCTGATTCTGTTCTTGGCTTGTTTTTAATTGGTAAAAGAATAACTGAGGGGTTGGGAGTTAGAGAATGGGTATTAGTAATTGGATCATCTTAATCACTGTGAGAAAGATGGGATTTGAAGACACATTTGTACTGAAAGTAGGAAAGCAGTCGAGAAGTACAGGAAGGAAATTAGGGCAGGAAATTCAGAATTCAGAATGAGAATTTCTCAGTATCTCCTATGCTAGATCTTACCCTGTTCTGGCAAAAGCAGTGTGCTTTTAGCAAATTTGGCCCAAACTTGGAATCACGGTGCCGAGTCCCAATACCACCTAGTTGGATAATGAGAAGCTAAATCACATACACCCACCTTCTTCTGACATAGATTCTTCCTCTGAGAAAGGAGACTAGACATATCTGCCTGCCTAGCTCACAGAATTGTTGTGATGATCAACAGGGGTCAACCTGGTGCATAAGACTTGCTTTTGCTCAATTCCGATGTGGCTCATGCAGCCTTATTGTAGGTAGGAGAAACACAGTAAGTGTTTGGTGAACAACAAATTGAAAGAATGAATGCAGACATCCAATGTGCTGATTATCTTCTTTAAGTCAAATATTTTTTTAATTAAAGATTCATTTATTTATGCATACAAGAGCTGGGATACAGGCCAGAGGTACAGGGAGTGAGATTATTCACCAGAGACAGAGTGAGAAGCAGAACAGGCAGATTGACTGATATACACTGCTGAGGGGAACAGCAGGAGAGACAGGAGAGGTCTATTGCACCACATGGGTCACCTCCCTGGCCAGGGATCAAACTTGTGCTGCAGTGGCCACTGATAGCTTCATAGTGCTGACGCTTAACCCCTTGCACCACCAGGGAGGCCCTTCAGTCAAATATTAAATGCAGGAACAACTTTATCCTTCATGTTCATGTAAAGTATAACCATGTATATGACATCATCATTACCAAGAAAATTCTCTTCCCCATTAAATTGCTAATCCTGTACTTGCTTTATGTGAGACAAAAGCTTTTATCTGATTATTTGAGATACAGCTTGAAAGGCACCATGCCTGAAAAAAGGTAGCTTAAATAACATAAAGGAATATAAGGCTAATTTCCCTTTTGAAAATCATGCTTCAATAGGGACAAAAAGAATTTGTTTGGGGTTGGTGTTTTTACTTTAAATTTTAAACAGTAATGAAGCATGCTTTGTTATTTGCACTATGAAAGGAGAAAAATTGTGTAATCTGGAGAACTATCACCTACCACTCTGGTAGGCTATATAAGAGGTTTTTCTCTATTTCCTCCAACCCTTGAAATTTTGGACCTCCTGCTTCATTTAACCTGACAAGTAATCATAATATTGATTTGGAGTTAAAAAGAAAAAGAAGACACATAATTCATTATGTGTGTGTGTGTGTGTGTGTGTGTGTGTAAACCAATCTGACTTGGAAGAACATTAACAGGGAATTTTGTTGATTTATCCCCACTAATCTGCTCTTGCTATGATCAAAATAGTCATCACAAACACCATAATGAAAAAAATCCACATAAAGAATCGGTCTATGACTTTTGCAACCTTCTTCCATTCGGTCCCCTTGGAATTGGTGGCTTTGTGGTCTCTGAGGCACTTGGCAATGTATTCGATGTTCCTTGTCAGCGCTGTGTACCGTGCACAGCAACTGTCAGCTCCCTGGGGGTTCTCTCTCTGGCTCACCAAGTCATTCTTGAAGAGTTTGTTCATTTCCTTCTTTCTGGAAAGGTCTTTGTTCCCAGTTGTTTTCAGGTTAGGCCCTGGGAGTTTGACATAAACCTTTGAGAGATGGTCCTGCTCCCTGTCATGGCAGGAGCTGAGGCAACTCTCACCAACATCATAGACAAACAAGATCCTGGACATGTACTTCAAGATGACCACCCTGGCCCACTGTGGCACTGGCCGGGCCTCAGCCCCACAGAAGTGGATATTCATCACCATGATGGTCAAGGCAGTGGAGGCTGTGATCAAGGCCATGGTGGCTATGTAGTATTTGCCTGAAATTAAAGTCACAGCAACAACTAAGTCAGCTTAAAACTGTCCTCTTGTTTGACTCAAAAAGAAGCAAACACTGTTTCTGCTCTGCTCTTTTTAATAAATTATTTATCATGGGGAACCTGATTTATTTATTCTACAAATAGATGTGGAATAATACACCAAAATTTAGAACTTTTATATTATTTTGCATCTGTGCACACATTGTTTTGCATGTTTCTTATGTAAATCCATTTACTAAGTTCCGTTTTACTACCAGATTTTAATACACTGAGGATGAGGAGTATTTTTTCAATTTCACCAGGTCTGTTACTTCATCCACTTCAGGTGTTCATTCAATAAGTAACTGGTAAATTAGTTAATAAAATGCACATGTAACATAGGGATGAGTGTTAGAAAATAAACACCTTCTCTAAGGAAGATATACAAGTGTATATAATGGGTATTAGTATAGACTTTTGAGTCACACTTTCTGAGTTCAAATCCAGCTCTGTCAATCACTAGACTTGTGACCCTAGAATAAACTAAAGAATACTGCTAAAGGACAGTTCCTTCTTTGTAAAATGAATATAATCACGGGTTTTTTAAAATTTATTTGTTTGTGCACACAGACCAGATATGCAGGGGGTGAGAGGATTCACCAGAGACAGAGTGGGGAACAGAACAGGCAGATCTACTGAAATACACTGCTGAGGGGAGCAGTGGGCGAGACAGGAAAGGTCTGCTGCGCCGTGTGGATCACCTCCCTGGCCGGGGATCAAACTCATGCTGCAATGACTGTGGACAGCGTCATAGTGCCGCATTTTAACCCCTTGCGCCACCAGGGAGGCCCCTAATCATGGTTTTTAACTCATAAGAATGTTGTGAGGCAACACGAGATGATGCATGTAATGGTCTCAGCATTTTCCTGGCCCTGAGTTAAAAGATCTATGAATGTTTACTGAGGTCGTGGTGTCAAAAATTTACACTTTCAGCAAACAGTTTATGATCTTGGCCAGTTCGCAGATTTGTCTTTTAACCTTATTAATATAAAGCTCATTTCTATTGGATAAGAAAGGCAAAAGTAAATAACTGTCATTGCACAAGGCAGAGTTGTTCATGGCAAAGGACAAGTAAGAAAGGCAACAAAAAGATAAGAGCATAAATTTGTGAAATAAAAAAGAAAACGAAAAATGAGCAAAACCAAAAACAATTTTGAAAAGAGGAAGAAAATGAGTAAACCTTTAACAAGGCCATTCATGGAATAGAGCAGGGATGGCAGTAGGGTAGAGAAGGAGAGAGGTGCAAAAGAAGAAATAAAATAATGGAAATTAGAAAATAATAAAAGTAATATTATACAGTGTTTAATAATCTCAGTGAAATTTCAAGGAAAAAAATAAGAAGATAAAGGGCAGATATGAGTAAGAAGAAAGAATACTTGAATAGGAATGAGAATCAAATGCCTCTACTCATTTGCCCTATCCTAGGGCAAAAGTTTTATAGCTATGTTTTACCAAACTTTTAAAAAAACAATTTTTTAATTTATTTATACATACAAGAACCCCTGGTACAGGCCAGGGGTGTGGAGGGGTGAGAGGATTCATCAGAGACAGAGTGGGGAACAGAACAGGCAGATCGACCAAAGCACACTGCTGAGGGGAGCAGCAAGTGAGACTGGAAAGGTCTGCTGCGCCATGTCAGTGTCTCCCCAGCCAGCCAGGATCGAACCTGCACTGCCGAGGCTGTGGACAGCTTCACAGCACTGTGCTCAAGCACCTGCACCACCAGGAAGGCCCTGTTTTACCAAACTTTTAAGTAGCAGATAACTCGTATCTTATGCAAGTTGTTCCAGAAATAAGAAAATAAGGAAAACAATCTACCTTATTTTTTTTAAATCAATATAATCTCAATCCCAAATGTAACAAGAAAGGAAATATTAAGACCATTTCTCTTATAAACATATTTGAGAATGTTCTATAACAATAGTTATTTCACTGAATCCAATGGTATCTTTAAAATGATAATTCAATATGATAGACGGGTTTTAGCCCAGGAATACAAAAAAAAAAAATTCAACATTTGAAAGTGTAATTCACAAGGGCCTCCCCTGGTGGCGCAGTGGTTGAGCACTGGACTGCGAAGCTGCCCGCATCCTCTGCAGCACTGGTTCGATCCCCAGCCACCAGCGAGGGTTCTCCTGCCGCGCCCGCTGCTCCCCTCAGCAGTGTATTTTGTCAGTCTGCCAGTTCTGCTCCTCGCTCTTTGTCTGGTGAATTCTCTCACCCTCCTGTGTGTCTTACTGTACCCAGTGCTTATATAAATAAATAAATAAATCTTTCAAAAAAAAAAAAAATAGAAAATGCAAACACACTTCTACAACCTTGGAAGCACATGTCATAGGTGCTACAAATAACAAATTATTATCCTAATATTCTCAGGATAGGTGTGCACCTTCCTAACAAGATCTATTTTGTTTTGTCACATAAACAGAATAGTTAAAGCTTGCAAAATTCCTGAGACATGTCTTCAGACATCACTCTCCAGGACTGAGCCAGATTGCTCTTGAATGTCACCAAAAGCAGAGAAGAATCTGCCAGCTGACCCAGCCTCAAACAGGGTTATGGGTGGATGTCATCACTGTCAATCATTTCTGCCTCAGGAGAGGTAATCAAAATGCCACTACACCTCTTCTCTTTATTTGTGGTGTGTGTGGGGGGGGGGGTGGAGAATTTTCTAGGTCTATTTCTCAAGATGGTGTGTGTGGGTGTGCAACTTTGTGTGTCTGTGTTTTGCTTGGAAAGATATAACAAGGAAGAAATCTTCAAACAGAGAAACCAATGTAGTAAGTCTGAATAATGGATAGTATTAGATTCAGTAGAGGGTAATAGGACAGTATAATATCTTTTTACTAGTAGTATCTAAGTCTCTCGGAGTTCCAAAATTTCTGTCATTGCTGAGTTGAAGGAACTAAAAATTTAGATCTAACCTCTGGTTCAGATACACACACTTGCTGTGTGTATCGCACAGCAAGTCACTGAGATGGGGTACTGGATCTGAATGGAATCTTCCCTTGGTGGCAGGGCGGAGGACTGAAGATGTCAGAAGTTTCTCTGAATGAGGTAGTTAAAGGAAAGGGAAGGCGGCGAAGGCAGTAGCAGTCTACATTCCTATACTTGGAGGGAATTCTTGCAGGTTTTTGAAAATCTGATCTAATTTAGAATCACCTCAGATTCCCAAATCTTGCCCAAAATTGCTAAATCAAACTCTTTGGCTATAAGGACATGCATTTTAATGACTTTTTCCTCATCTATTATACCCAGTAAGGGTGGAGAATTTCTCTGCTCAGGCTGAAAAATCCAGCTCATCATTTCTACCACATTTGCCATTCTCCCCCAGAAGAAATCCCTTGAGGTGTGAAGTGACAGTAATAGTCGCTGTCTGCCTGGTCCTCGCCATATGCCAGGCTCTGCACTGAGCAGTAACACAGTGACTAGCAATTATACACATTTGGCAGTTGACAAAACACATACACAGAGCTGCCTGAGGTTGACCAAGGAAAGTGGTGAGAGATTTCAAGTGCAGATTTCTTTGACTTCAAAATCAGGGCCTTAACCTCTCAGCTTGTGGTTTTTAGATTCGAGCAGAAAGTGCATCAAAATCACCAGAAATCTTCACACAGATTGTCAAACCCCACCATTAGAGTTTCTAATGCAGTAGGTCCAGGATCAGTTCTGGGTATGTGATTTCTAAAATGAAGCTGCATTGTGGGTCCAGGGACCACACTTTGAAAAGCAGTGCCCTAAACTGTACTGCCTCCAATTCCTCTTCTGTGTAAACTTAGAGACCATCACCGTTCCTGTCTCCAACAGCCACATCTGCCTTCAAAGTTGTCAACTGAAGACCCTAGCAGATACATGTGATAACCTGTGTTGACTCTGAAGTTGACCTTATCATTATATGTTTAAAGGCACAGACACAACCCTGCACTAAAAGGCTTAGCTTAAAGTATAAGACTCTTGAACTCACCTATCAAAGGGACATTTTCTGAAGCTGGCATGATCTCTGCCACCATCAGCTGAAATACAGTCATGGCCAACAAGATGGTCACACCCAGGGAGACTTTTTCCCCAGAGGCTGCTGGAAGATAAAAACTCAAGGGGGCCAGAAAAGATATGAGGACGCATGGGATGAGGAGGTTGACGATATAGAAGGAAGATCTCCTCTTCAGAAGAAGCGTGAACGTCACATCCGGGTAAGGCTCAGAGCAGCAGCCGTAGGAGATCATATTCTTCACGGCAGGCATGCCATGGACTTCCCACTCCACATCTTCAATGAAGTCAGACAGGTCTCCGCTGTCCAGGGAGTTGAATATGTCCACCTGATTGCCATTGTAGGTCCAGGAACCAAAGGTCAGATTGCACTGCTGGTTATCAAAGGGGAAGTAGGTGACATCCACCACACAGGAGCTTTTGGTGATAGCTGGGGCATCCCAGGTGATCAGCCCATCATACCGCAGGACCACATTGGTATTTACAGGTTCAGAAGACTCATCATCAGCCCTGGAGGAAAACAAAATCTGCTTACCAGAGGAACTTACCTTACCTCCAACAACTCACCACTCCTTGGTCTAAAATTAGGAAAAGGTCAGACATTTTGATCTAGTTTATCCTTCACTCCACATAAAATCCAAGATCCATGGACCAACTAATTGGCCCCTTCTGAGGTAATCTTAGTCTTAGCATTGTTATTGATTCATGATCTTGGACAAGTGAACACTATATAACAGATTGAATTGTGTCCCCAACAAATTCATATGCTGAAATTCCTGGCCCCACATCTAATGTGACCTTAATTGGGAATAGGGTCAGTGCAGATGTAGTTAAGATAAGGTCCTCCTGGAGTAGGATGAAGCCCTAATCCAACACAACTGGTGTCCTTATCAAAGCGAAAATATGGACACAGCCATGTCTTATGGGGGTGAAGGCAAAGATAGGGGTGATGCTTCCTTGAACCAGTGTACAGCAAAGATTGTCTACCAGAAACTAGGAAGAGAGTGCCTCACAGCCCTGTTTCCAGAAAGGTAAACTAATACATTTCTGTTGTTTAATCCACCCAGTTGGTGGTACTGTGTTACCGCTCTCCTGGAAAGCTAATACGGTCTCACTTTTCTCACCTGTCCAGGGGAAGGCAACTCCAAGACTTTTTGATCTATTACTTTATCGACTAAAATACTATGATCATTATTTCTAGGCCTAAAAACAGGAATTGATAGTTAACTTCATGCATATTTCAAACACTCTTTTTTTGCTATGTTTAAATTCAGCTAAATCAACAAGTGTATTTTTGAGAAAATTCAGTTATGACTTGCACTTACTTGTTATACAGGACAATGTCTGGCCTCCACACCAGGTCGCTGGGGATCCTGATGGAGTCCAGTCCATCATACTGGTCTCGATCCCATGTGAGATATGCATCATGCCAGATTTGGCGGATCCATAGGTAGGCGGTCAGAATTTGGTTTCTTTCATCCTACACAAGTAAGCCAGATGGCGACTGTCGAGTAGACACCCCGACCAAATGCCCTCCATCTCTAAGATGCTTATTTTTTTTACAACAGGAATTCAAGAACACTAATCCATTTTTAACCAAAAGTCTACCCTCTGGATTAACTACCAGGACCATTGGTTGTTTGTTTATTTAGTGTTTGCTATGTAAATTTGACAAATATTTAAGTCATTGGACTTTGCTTACATCAAGTGATGATACAAATATACAGGAGAAAAGTCTTTCAAGGTTTATAATTTTAAGTAGTTAAGCACATTTAAACATTGAATAAGGGATGTCAGCAGCAATATAGGGGAACCAAATAAGACATCAGTATTAAAAAAATAATAACAGTACAAAACACAACAAAGCAAAAACAGACATTATAAACCAGAGACATCCTGCAGGGGAGGAGGAGGGAGAGGGATGAGAGGGAGGGAGGGAGGAGCACAGGGGACTGAGGTGATGGGGCACGGGTGCCTTGGGGAAGGAAACTCCATGGGGACTACACCTGAGGGCATGGGGGGAAGCCAATATTGTTTTAAAATGAACAATGATGTAAAACATAAAAAATTAAATTAAAAAAAGAGATGCCATTTTAAAAAAAGCATCTTTTTTAAATTGGGATAACATTCAACAACATAAAACTCACCATTTTAACCTTTTTAAAGTACAAATCAATGACTTCCAGTATGTTCACAATTTGCACAACTATAATCACTAATACCAAAATATTTTCGTCACCCCCGAGAAGAAACCTTATAACCATTATACTTTCACTCACCATCCCCCCGTCCCCCAGCTCCTGGCAATCACTTCTCTGTGTTCTGCTTCTATGGATTTACCTGTTTTGGACTTTTCCTAGAAATGGAATCATAGAATATGTAACACCATCTCTTTCTAAGACGGTTATAGTGACTGGCCAGGATGAGGTAACATTTAGTAAAATTAACTTTGTAGAAAGTTTCCTTGTCTGCATGTTCCCTTCTTCTACCAGCTTCGCAGAGTATCATCTGCCCTCATTCCTCTCAAATTCCTGGTAAAGACTTTCCCTTTGGAAAGCACTGCTGTTTTCATTCTAAGCAACGTTCCAGAGAGTCACCAGTACATGTTACTCACCATATCCTTAATCTGAGAAAGCGTAATCTGCAGAGTGACATTCAAGACTTCATCTGTATCTTCTACTGGACGGAGAGCATTGGAATAATCTTCAAAAAGGTCATTAAACAACTTCTGAGCATATTTTCCATCTGCCATTTCTACAACTGCTCAAAAAGAGGAATCTGGATCAAACTCAGTGTCATGTGCATTACCAGACCAAGTCTAGGATTGGGGGTGACCCACCATCCATTGGGGATAAGCTTTAGGTGAATGAGGGGTTTTATTCTGGCATGCCCAGGTCAACATGAGTCACTAAGAAGCACAGGACACTTCCTTGCATTTAGCCCCTTTGCTCTGTATTTCCTGGCCCACCTCACCTCCCACCTACCTATGTGGCCCCTGATCCACTGAGGCAACTATACATCCACCAGCTTCTCACCTCTCAGTCTGGAGGCAGCAAAGTAAATCCAGCAAAAGGAGATGCAGGAATGGGGCCAGTTCATCTTGTTCCTGAGCCTCTATTGTATCCCAGGCAGGCAGCACAATTTTCCACCTGCCTCCGTGAACAAGAGGGTCTGGGTACAGTCTCCCCTTGGCAGACAGAGAGCTCCCCGCTTATAGTGCACAGTGGCTGGAGGTCCTGAGATCCAGACCCGCCTCCCTCCCCTCTGTAATCCGAGAATGGCAGCTTCAGCGGCTATGATGCAGAGAGCAAAATGGGTTGGGTCAGGCTGTGCTGCTCTGGGGGAGGTAAGGGTCCCAGGTGAGGATTCCAGGCCAACCTCACCAGGAAGAGAGGTAAGACTCCACACCCAAGGCTCCGGCTAAGTAGAATGGGCATTTTCTACCACTTCTGCAGGCCTATTCTGCCTGAGGTCAAGGACCAGGGAAGCTAAACGGACCCAGCAACTGGGCACAGATCTGGAAAGGGCCTGTGTGCCAGCTTTGAAGAGAGAAGAGGAATAGTCCTGATCTCAGAACAGATTGGCATTTGACTTTTTTCTCTGCCTCTGCTTCTGATCACCCTTTCATTGTCCCACTGACAGGGATCTTGTGTAGTAGTGTGTGTGTGAGCATGGGGGGAGGATGTTGGATGGAAAAAAAGGGTTCAAATCCTCCAGGAACAGCAACACTGACTTGGATTCGGAATGTAAGACCTGGGTTTGAGCGCCAACCCAAACCCTTCCTAGCTCTCTACCTCTGAGCCTTCCTCAACTACACACTAGGCAAATAATATTCCCTCTCCCAGAGGTGCTGGGGACACTGAGCAAAAGCATTGTGTTTATTGCAAAGCACTATGTAAATGTTAGTGATTTTTTTCACCTTTTTTCAGACTGCAGATCTAGGATTTCTACATTTACCAAGTTACTAGCTCTTAAGATTAACCAAATCAGCACAAGAATGGCTCATAAGTAATGATATATTACTAAGCGAGACACTGCTTTGCATCAGAATGCTACTTTATATCATTCCACATTCATTCCTCACAGAAGCTCTAATTTTGCCTCTGCAAAAGAATGTCGATTTCCAGCGGCCATAGCCTGTTCCTCCTCTTGCCCCTCCTCTTGCCTGAGGAAATCGCCTTGGAAAACCAAATTAAGATCATTTGGCTGCCTGGAATCAGAGCAAAGAAATTGGATAGCTCTATTTCATCGGGTTACAGCATCAGATGAGTCACCCTGTCCCTCTTCAGGGATATATCCTCCGAATGGAACAGACACTCAAGCCGGCAGCTAAGTGTGTCTCTTAATTGCCTCTGCCCTGTGTTCATCATGCAGACGTTATTTTCCTGACACCCCCTGGTCTGACTCACCCAGCAAATGGCACAGCTTGCGGTGCCCACACTCAGACCTCCTTGAACTAACCATCTGCTCTGCAATCTCAGAGGCTGAAGGTACTTCTGAAATTGAATTAAGCACCTCATTTCCACATGAGGAAACTGAGGTCCAGAGGTGCGATTGTTTACCCTCCCCTCAAAATGCTTGACTATAGGTGAATCCAGGACTGGTTCCAGCCCAGCATTGGAACCTCTCTTCCTTCTCAGAGTTCATCAACATGGCCCTCAATGCGGGAGCGGGGATGGGCAGTGACTTCCTTATGGTGAGACTCTTTACCTTAGTTTCTTTGATGCTTCACAGAGAGCAGTCCCAGTACTAGGTGCTTAGTGAACACTCAGTACTAGAGCGGCCTGTGACAGATGACCCCAAAGAAATCCCTGGCAATCTTTGTTGAGTTTGATTAACTCCACTCAGCTGTTCACTTTCAATTTTTAAAAAATGGTAACAGTGGATGCTCATCTATGAATGATTAACACAAAACCGAGTTAAACCATTACTTTGGTCGGGGGAGATCTCTGCCTTAGAGGGCAAAAATGCTAATGATTAGAAAATAAACTCCTCAAATTCATTCCAAAAATGACTGAGTGTTTTTGTGGAGCCCTGCTTAGCTTCATGCAGTCACTAACTCTTCCTTCACTTTGTATTCTGCAAGAAAAAGAGATGTGAAATACAGAGGTCCCGTAGCTTGCTGGACAGTAAGTGGAAGCAGACATGCACTGGATTCGCTGTTTAGGGTTCATTTGGCTAAAAGGCAGGTGGATATGGTTTAGATTGATCACACTAAAATGTGAACTCAGACGATGAAAAGAAAATGACTATATCTCAGTCACCCCAGAAATTTGGACACTCCCGGTATACCCCATTTCCTGAGTGCCCCATTAACTTAGGAGAGGTTATAGCTGTTGACATATTAATTGAGGTTAAGAGCACACTAAATGATTTACATTTGCTAGATTAAGGTTTTCATGCCAGCATCCACCTTTCCCCAGCTCATGGGTAGAAATTCTGAACAGCATCTCACCAGAGATTGTGTGATAATATCACCCAAGGGAGTATACTCTGGCCGGAAAAAAAGGGGTCACAATTCAAAGAATTTCTAGAAAGTACAACAATCCTTTCAACATCTGCACCTTTTGAGAAACAACAGTCCCTCAACACAATAAATTATTCCAACCATTGCAGAGTTGCTGGGAACCAAAACCACCCTATGAGCCAATTTTGAGGCACTTGCTTATTTGAAAATATATTAGGATTTTAGAGATAGTCCATAAGATCACAATATTTTAAAATATAATTTTACTACATAAATAATGCATGTCTATCATAGAAACATTAGAAAGTACATAAAAGCACAGCAATGAAAAAGAAAGTTCACCCAGAAGAACCAGGCAGAGAACGACCAGATTCAGGCAGCAGCCATCTTTTTGAAACTTTCAGGTTTCTGTGTTTTCATTCTGTGAGCCCGGGCATTAGTATCACTCTGTCTTGCTCCATGCAGATGATGAGCAGAAGTGTAGAGGATGCTTCTGAATACTCCTTTCCTGTTCCATGGGTTTGAGTTGTTGTTCACATATGGTTTCCCCTGAAAAGTTTCTAGTGCATTCCACTCCATCTCCCCACCCCTCAGGGTCCCTGCTCAACTTTTTTTTTTAAAGATTTATTTATTTATTTTATACAAGAACTGGGGTACAGGCCAGATGCACGGGAGGGTGAGAGGATTCACCAGAGACAGAGCTGGAAACAGAACAGGCAGACTGACAAAATACACTGCTGAGGGGAGCAGCGGGCAAGACAGGAGAGGTCTGCTGCGCCATGTGGGACCCTCCCCGGCTGGCCGGTATCGAACCAGCGCTGCAGAGGCTGCGGACAGCTTCACAGAGTGGCACTCAACCGCCTGCGCCACCAGGGGAGGCCCCCTGCTCAACTTTTTGGTGGAAGCTCATTATCGAGGTCAGATCTTGCAGGGGGCATTCCTGGTTCCATTCCAGAAGTGTTTGCCTATATGATTGTGTGTGTTTGTATGCATGTGTGTGCCCTTGCTTACCAGATTATGTCTCCTACTAGAAGTTAAGTTCCATGAGAGTGAGGACTTGGCCTTGTGCTGTACTCCCAGTCACAGAGGAGACATTTATTAATTAAACAAGCTAGTAATATCTAAGATGAAAAAAGAAATCTAAGGAATTAAAAGATGGGGGAAGGATAGATTTCAGCAAAGTGTCGTGACTATATTTCCTATTATTCACAAGCTTACCAAAATCTTTTTAGCACTCATTGCTGGGCTGTTATGTACAATCTTACATTGCTAGCCAATTGCTTTATTATCTTTTAACCTATGTCAAAGCAAAAGTCCTTGACAACATAGATCATATATAGTTGGTGTTTTGTATGTAGTCCAAGTTCAAGAGGAGCAAGCACCAAGATCAATTAGTGGTGTATTCCATCGATGCAGGAGACTGGTAGGCATTAGCATCTCTCCATTCGCTGCTGACTTCACAACAGAAAGAACATAGAATATCAGACTCTTTCTATCACCCAGGTTTAAATCCTACAACCACCACTTACTAATTATATGAGCTCTGACAGATCACATAATTTTTTCCAGTCTGTTTTCTCATTTGTAAAAATTATAACTATAATCTTTACTTAAAAGGGTTATTTTGAGGATCAAAGCAAAACAGATAAAGTGTCAAGCACATACTTGGCATGTAGCAGGCTCTCAATAAATGTTAATATGATTCCCCTGCTGAACCACACAGTCTCCAGTTGTCAGCGAAACCTCCATTAGTAAAAAGAGAGACACTAGATTGCCAACAGAAGAGCCAAGTTCATGAAGAGACATGAGCAGGTGATAAGGGATATGCAGTTTTCTGGGTCAGAAGAACAGCTGATACATGATACGGGGTATCCAATGTGCTCAGGTGAGTGATCCGGGGGCTGTAGCAGGCTCTGGTGTCTGTGCTTTGTCAGAAGGTACACACTATTCTCCCTGAAATCCCCTAAGGGGATATATTTGAAAGCCATAAAAATTTATACAGTTGTATAGGATAAGTATCTCTTGGCTAATTTCTCTTATTTCGGGGATCTTTCTTCACCATGTATAGAGGAGCCCCCAACCATAAGGCCCTAGTTAGGCCATTTGGTTCTTGGGTTTTTTCTGAAATTTTCCTTTGCTCTTGAGTTTCCAAGCCTTTCTTACCCCGATATGTTCTCACCCCACTGGCTTTACTTCCTCTTTTCATAGCAGCTTGTGTGGTTACAATTGCATAATATGTTCCTGCTAATTGTCGTGGCCATCTCTGATGACAGTGCAAGGGTTGGTGAGAGAAAAGCAGGGGGTGGGGGGGGAGGGAAGGCAGTGGGGGAAGGAGGATCCCTCTTCTCTTGTTAGCAGTAGTTTGCGCCCTCAAAGTTAATTCTCATGAAGAGGTATAGAGAAATAGGGAGACAGCACCCTTCAACCAAACTCCTACCCTCCCAGGCCATTGCAGGAGCATCTCCCACAGACATGGGCTGCTGAGAAGCAGCCTGACCCCAGGCTCCAGATTATCACTGGTCACCCCCACCCCTTCCCTGGCCGGGTAAGTGAGAACTAAATGGACATGTGGAGACAGAAAAGAGGGGAAGGGGCTGTCTGACCCCAGCAATGGTTTCTCCATCACCCCTGCCCACCAGCGCCCAGTGCCGGAGTCTCATTGGCTCAGGTCTCCTTAGCAAAAAGGGGATTTAATTCCCAGGGGTTTTTTCCT